CTGTTGGTACCTGATCATCAACTCCAGATGGTAGTTGCAAGTAGGCAACCTGTGGTACAGTGGTCGGGTACCCAGGCTATATCTACATAAGTTGACACTATTTAACGTGTTTTATGTACTGAGCAATATGTTGTGTTGTTCCTTCGGCTATATTTTAAGTAAATCAACACAATCATGTTGGTAGCTGATCATCAAATCCAGATGGTAGTTGCAAGTAGGCAACATATGGTATAGTGGTCGAGTTTCCAGGCTATGTCTCCATAAGTTGACCATAATTAATGTGTTTTATATACTGAGCAATATGTTTTGTTGTTACATCAGTTTTATTTCAAGTACATCAACTTGATTTGTTGGTACCTGATCATCAAGTCCAGATGGTAGTTGGACGAAGGCAACCAGTGGTCGGGTACCCAGGCTATGTCTACATAAGTTGACCATATTTAATGTGTTTTATGTACTAAGCAATATGTTTTGTTGTTACATCAGTCCTATTTTAAGAAAATCAACTCGATACTTATGGCACCTGATCATAAAGTTCAGATGGTAATCGCAAGTAGGCAACCAGTGGGACAGTGGTCGAGTTTCCAGGCTATGTCTCCATAAGTTGACCATAATTAATGTGTCTTATATACTGAGCAATATGTTTTGTTGTTACATCAGTTTTATTTCAAGTACATCAACTTAATTTGTTGGTACCTGATCATCAAGTCCAGATGGTAGTTGGACGAAGGCAACCAGTGGTACAGTGGTCGGGTACCCAGACTATGTCTACATAAGTTGACCATATTTAATGTGTTTTATGTACTGAGCAATATGTTTTGTTGTTACACCTGTTTTATTTTAACTAACTCAACATAATCATTTTGGATTCTTATCTTTCACTCCACTTGTTAGTTGCAAGTACTCAACCAGTGGTATAGTGGTCGTGTACCCACTCTATGTCGGAACGAGTTGACCATATTTAATATGTTTTATGTACTGAGCAATATGTTGTGTTGTTCCTTCAGTTATATTTTAAGTAAATCAACACAATCCTGTTGGTAGCTGATCATCAAATCCTGATGGTAGTTGCAAGTAGGCAACCTGTGGTACAGTGGTCGGGTACCCAGGCTATGTCTACATAAGTTGACCGTATTCAACATGTTTTATGTACCGAGCAATATGTTGTGTTGTTCCTTCAGTTATATTTTAAGTAAATCAACACAATCCTGTTGGTAGCTGATCATCAAATTCAGATGGTAGTTGCAAGTACTCAACCAGTGGTACAGTGGTCGTGAACCCACGCTATGTCGGAACGAGTTGACCATATTTAATATGTTTTATGTACTGAGCAATATGTTTTATTCATACATAAGTTACATTTTTAGTAAATCAACGTTGAGTG